ACCATTTTTTGCAGAGTGTGTTTTACTATACGGAGGGTAGGATGAATTTCTCAGTACAGATCTTCGCAATTACTTTCAATAATTGGCAAAAGCTGTATGATAAATAAAAGTTTCATACTTACGCGAGTGACCATTCCCAAGTGCATCATTCTGATTTCATTTGTTCATACATCATTCGATAGGGGACTTCGAGTAGGTAAAAAGTCTATATTATATAAACGATAAGTTCTGTTTTAATTTCTAAATAAATTATTGTTCAATTATACATGTAATTGCAGAATTATTTCTTCAGACATAAAGTACAATATATAATAACAAGTAAACATTCTTCATATATGGAAATAATTAAATAATCGAAGAAATTCTTTATTAACATTATCTGTCCAAATAATGAAATGTCGATTATGTACATATATTAAAGCTGAAACTACGCTCAAATAGTAATGTTGAAAGATTTTTGTCGATGAATGAATCTTTCTCATATAAAAACCAAAAAAAAAAGAAAAGAGCTCGTCATAGGATCCTATACTCATTTAGAAAGAACTGATCAGCTATAAGATCATATCACTCCTCTTTCGACCTTTTACAGAGCAATGAGCTGTCACACATCTAATTATCTAAGACTGTTAAGTTGCGAAACTATTTTAATTGATTAATGTTTAATATAGATATGTTTTTCTTTTTTGTTTTTATTCAAAAATTCATCGTCTAGTAAAAATTTATCATATATTATTTGATAAAACAAATAGTATTATAATTATTGCAAATGAATGAAATACATATTATATCATTTAACATGTAATATTTAACAAAACGTCTTTATTGAATTGATGATATACTTTGAATTATTCAATATTTGGATTATAATGCTCGAAATATTCAATCATTATAGAAGAGGATAATCAATTTTACATTCATTTAGTATTGTAATTTATGAGTGTAAGAAACAAATTTAATCAATCAAAAGAACAAAAAAATTTATTTGATATCCTCTAGTTCGTCTTTATTTTACTAATCTAACATTAGAAAATATAGTTGAAATTAGTAAAATAACAGATAGGTAATAGAAATATTTCAATTAATCTTTATTATTATTATTTGTCTAATGTATAGTGATTATGTATCAGCTATTCAATTGAATATTCTATCGATTACAACAGTTCGAGTTTATGCTGAATCATTTCAATCGATTAAATAATAAGAAAATCTTCAAGTTAAAATCAAAACTAAGTTTGATTTGTTTTTCTTGTTATAAATACACATTCATGTTGAATAAATAATAGTGAATATTTAAAGTTTTGTTTTTCAAGACGAGAATAAGATGTATTAAGACGAATATGTGGTTGTTATTATGTTTGAAAAATAAATTCAATGAATAATCAAGAATGTATGAATAATTTTCAAACTGCGAACTAAATGAAACATCCTATAATGAACGTTTTCAATGTCGAGAAATGATCGATGTATTCCATTAAATTATAAATATGATGAAAGTTAGTCTTTCGAATTAACTATAAAAAAAAAATTTTTTCTTGTTTTTTCTCTTCGAATTTCAATAGATAATGATTATTATCATAATAATCATGAACAAAATTGTGTTTCGATAAGAAAACAAAATAGATTTTTTTATCTTTGATATTTTAATAAAAAATCTCTTTATATAGCTGGAATAAGAACATGTAAAATAAATCAATTTCAATGTCGAAATACTGATGTTTGTATAAATAATCAACTTGTTTGTGATAGTGTTATCCTCATTGTTAAGATCGTTCGAATGAATTCAATTGCAATTAAATAATAAAAAAAGATTTGATTTATTTGGATTTTTCAAATGAAAAATTCAATTTAAAAAGTCAAACTTACTCATAAAATCAATTTCATTATGCAACAGAAAAATGTATTCCTAAATCTTGGATATGTGTGATAATGGTAAAGAATATTTTTTTTTTCTTATTATTAATTATTTATTTTTATATAGAAAATGATTGTGATGATTGAAATGATGAATAGAAATTTCAATGCTTTCAAATCTGAACAATTGAATATTTTGTTTTAGAATGAACATGTGATTCATTAACATAATTTACTTGTTCTCATACACCTAGAAAATGTATTCCGAATGATATGTTAAAAAGAAAAGCTTTTATTTGCTCATACTATAGTTTTAATTGTTTTTGTTTAAAACGGCATATCAAGATGCAGTGTCTATCAGAGTTTTTCTTTTTTGAGGGGGAGTAGATTTAATTTATGTTGCATCATTTGTAATAACGAAAAACATAACTTTGAACAATTGAAGGAAATTAACTTACCCATATAAATATATCCCATGTAAAAATAAAAAGGTATTTAACGAAATGATTCTTAAAATTAGCGCAAAGAAATGCGTTAAAAGACAAATTAACGAAATTTCACGAAGAAAATTTCATGAACTTTCATTATATTCCGAAAATTCGTGTAAATGCATTAGATTTTTCACACTTTTTCATGCGTGATTGTCGTTTTAACTGTAACTAATTCATTATATATCGTTAAACGTTGAATTCATTTTCACGCGTTAAGAAGTTTAACGATATTTCTTGAGTTTTTTTTTATTTTTAACCAATCTGACCATGTTAAATATCGTTAAACTTGGTATTCATTTTCATGCGTTAGACGTATTAACGCGTTTTCATGAATTTCTGTATTTTTCACGAAACTTAGCTGATTGATTCGCGTTGAATGTAGTAACTGTTTTCATGAGTAAAATATTTTAACGAGTTTTAATGAAAATTTTAATTGTTAGCGAACGTCACTTAATTATCCATCATTCAATCTACTAATCGTTTTCATGTGTACAATATTCATGATTTTTTTTGTGTAACATATTTGTTTATGCACATTACACAAAAATTATCTTGAAAGACTTATATTTACGAAATATCAAGTGTATCTGAGAATTATGTCAATCCAGATATCAAAAGCTTTTTATCAGATTAAGCAGGACTCTAGAGAAATCTCAACTTTGTATTAATCGATAGCAAAACCACTTGAATTAATTCTAGACAAAGATAATCCTCTTTCATTTTTTTCCTTTAAAATTTACTATACGTTTTATATCTAAAGGAATGTAATTTTGTACTTCGTACATCATCATTTCTGCTCCACGTGATAAAAAAACGTTTAGCGAAATAATTGCTCCAGTTAAGGCCAAAAATTGCCTTAAAAGGCAAATTAATGAAGGTTCATGAAGAAAATTTTCATGAATTTCTGTTAGATTTGGAAAATTCGTTTTAATGTGTTACATTTTTCACGCGTGATTATCATTTTAATGGTGAACAACTCATTATATATCGTTAAATACTGCATTCGTTTTCACACGTGTGATAGTTTAACTTTTTTACTCCAGCTAGATGCCACCTATATAAGTATGTATTGATATAAATTTTCCTTTTACGCTATTGAGTTGAGCTGAGTTAAGTTTTTCGCTTATAGAATCTAGATCTAATATGAAAAATATGATTGGTTCATCTCTATTAAATATGTAAGCTGATATACTAAGTTAAGAGGAAGGAGATGATTAAATCATATTAGTTCGTGTAATCTGTCTTTCCATAGTTCAAGCTGATGAATATATTACTCCTCAGGATTTTTCATACATTGTTATTCACCGCCAATATGATGAAATTTCTTTAATGATCAATATTTTGCTAAGTTCTACTCGTCTGTGGAGAAAAATCCAGCTAATTAATTCAATATTGGATGTTACTTTCTAATAAGATGCTTAAGATAACATTATTATCACTAAAAATATTTTATAATTGATAGCAAAATAAATCAAAGAGTACAATATTTTTTTTTTTACTTTGTCGATATTCCAGATTTTGAACTAGTAATAATCTTATCATTTCTATCGACTATGAAATACATTTTTGGTACATACAAGAATACAAAATTGTAGCAAGTAAAGCCATAAATAGTTTTAATTTCGAGATATCGACAAAATAAAAAACTATATTATATTTTCTCGTTGGTTTTTCTATCTATTGCGAAATATTTATAGTGATAACAATGCTTTCTGAAATATCTTATTAGAAAGTACATCCAATATTGAATTGATTAGCTGGACTTTTCTCTTCAGACAAGTGAAACTAAGCAAGATATTAATTATTGAAGGAAGTTCATCATAGTTGCAGTAAATAAGAATGTAAAAACTTTTTCTAACAAAAGGTGCATAATATTCTCACATGCATATCTTTCTTATTTCTTGAGCAATCACCTTTATTTCTACACCATAAATATAGTTTCAAATGCTCTTTAAAATGACTATTTATTTGTTGAAATTACTTGAGTAGTTGCAGAGATATATCGATTACAAAAGTTCTGTGAACTTTTTGTCTATACCTTATATACCTCAAATTGTTTATATGGGTTGTCAGCAAAACATATTCGTTCTAATCATTCCAACAGATATGACGTTTTAACATATAGCAAAACAGAAAAAAATAAGATATTTAATATGGTGGTATGACACACCTAAATCAATAGTTTCTTCAACATTCTTTTCTTTGAGTCTTATCATCACAACACACTAATTTTGTTAGCAGTCGTTTTGTTAATTTATTTCCAGCAAAAGTAAAATGGTCGATTATGACAATGATGAGCTCGATACAATTCCTCGAAAACTATCTTTTATCAGCTCGGCTACTGATGAACAAATGGCAGCAGGCGCTGAAATTATCATTAACTATCATCCATCTTCCGTTGCAACTCAGGAGATCAACAATGATAATGACAATCTAACGATATTTTCAATTCGAAAAATTTACAAAAATTTATTCACTCTTGCAATAGCCTTGACACTTATACTAACAGCTTACAGCAATGTCGTAACACTTCAGTCGAGTCTAAACACAAAACACAATGTTGGAGTCAACTCTTTGATCATTTTATATGCTTGCACTATTGTAAGTGCGATCTTCTTTACTGGTAGCTTCCTGGATATTTTTGGACTTAAATGGAGTATGATACTAGTAATATTTGCGTATGTCTTATATATAGCAGCTAATATTCGTCCACTTCCTGAATTTATGTATATTAGTAAGTATTATTCTGATTAAAGAATGAGTAGATAAGCCGAACAAAGTTTTGTTAAAGTCCAAGATCACATCTAATCTAATTCTTTATACTAATGATAGTGATCATATGTATTGAGAGGCAAATCGTCATCTAAGTTACTGAAAAATGATAAGATTCAAGAGCATCAGATAAAGCATTTTTTGTCTTTCGAGTGCAAATCGATGAACAATTATTCATATTCTAAGGACAAATGCATGTATTTTGTTTGTTTTTAAGGTGCAGCCTTAGTAGGACTTGCTGCTGCTCCTCTATGGACGGCTCAAGCATTGTATATCAATCGAATTGGTCGTTATCACGCACAACATAAATGTCAAACGGCTGAAGTATCTGTTGGTCTATTTTT